ACCCGAAATTGGCCGCAAATCAAATACTAGACAGCTGGGCTAAATTTAAGCACACCCAACTAATTTGATTCCATTCTGCCGAAATTGAAATCGTGATTCTCCCGGTCCGGACACCTATTCAATTACCCATTTACTGTAATGACCGTATTACAGGCGGGCAGCACTTTGGATGCACAATGAATCACTGCATTTGCATTTGCATTCATACGTACTTACGAGTTTTTCCACAGCATTTCCACGGGCATGTGACACCTTGCACTTTGCGCTGATTGTGTTTGCATTTGCTACAAGCGAACAAGATTTCGCCCAGGTAAAAAAAGGCAGCGGAAAGGTGTACAGACTGCAAAGACTCACAACAAAGTCAACGGGGAAAAACAAAGTTTGTTACAATAACTGGCTATTAATTTATTTTATTAGTAAAGTGTTTTGGGTCGTAAAAGTATGAGTAATGTTAATATTAGCAATGCATAGATTAATATTTTTAGTGGAATTGCTGGGACGAACTCTCTATCTAAGATGACAACTTATTAGTCAAAACAGACTAGAAAAACTAAAGAAATTGTAAATTCTGTAATACTTTAAAAATAATTGAATAAGTAACTAGCTTTGCTTAAAGATTAAAGAACTACTAAAAATAGTAGTGATAATTATTAAGAATTAAAATTACCTTTTAGGATCATAAAATCATATAAATCCGATTTCAGACGTCACAAATCATTTTTAATAAATACATTCCTTACTGCTCTGATAAATGAATATTTATAAGATTTTTTATCACAAAACATGAATTTAAGCAGGAAATAGTAACAGTGTAATTTAATTTTCCGCTCGTGTTGTGTGCTTAAAACAGCTTAGTTAACCGAGTAACGACAGAAAGACAGGGAACGTAGACGGATTCTTTAGCAGGAGCTGACAAAAGTGAGGGATTTACGATGCAAATTGTGGGCGACACTATCAGTTGACATTGCTTTATCACTGGGCCATATATCTCTGCGAACTTTTCACTTGGGGGTTAACACACCAGCCACCATAGTTGTCAATTTACGACACTGACTTCTGATTGATTGGCAGCGTTCAGGAGTGTATTCCAGGAAACAGGTGTATAGGAACTTGAAGCAAACAAATATACACACTAGAAAAATACTTTAAGTTTATTTAATAAATGTTAATTCTAAATAAAAATAAGAATTCCTTATTGTTTCTTTAATAAAATAATAATAAAAGAAAAAAATAAAATACATCACCACAGCAAAAAGAAATATTGCCTACTTCTTGGCGTTTATCTAGGTACGACGTATACGTAATTTGCAGATGTGAAAGATGGCTCTCATGTAACCGTAATACTTACAGGATAGGATAAATAATAAAAATATAAAATAAATGAATTAGTAGCTAGGCCCATTACAGCTTTTCTGCACTCCTATCTGACAAACGAACCCTTCTTCATAACAATCTTGATAGGGATCTTCTTCTGTCGACACCTTGAAAAGGATTTCCCACCTGTTGCGCGCTCTTCCGCGTCCCCACGCTCTCTCCCGCTTTCTCTACAACAGCTTCTGCCGGCAATCACATGGCGCCAACATCTGTTAGTCAGCAGCGGCAGAGCAGCAGCAGCGCCGCCAGCGACCTTATGACAGATTTGGCAATGCTGTAAAGCAAAGCAAAATCACAAAAACAATAATAATAATAACAACAGACCAGTGTGGAGGAGGTGTAGGGTGAGGCGGCAAAGGGGGAGGAGAGAGCCGACCGCTGGCGACGAAGTCCGAAGCGAACGCCGACACAGCAGCGACGCCTCGTTTGGCTAACAACTCGATAAAAATGTGTGTGCTAGATGACGCTACCGGTCGTGTCTGTAGTTGTAGTTGTTGCTATGGCTCCTACTGTTGTTGCGGCGGCGGTTGCTGCTGCGGCTGCTGCTGCGGCAGCGTCTGTTGTTGCTGCTCACTTTTGGATAATAAAACGGGCAACGCGCACTCGAGCGCCAAGTCAATTTGCGAACGCCGCTCGTTCACAACGGAGGCGCAAAAAAACAAAAGAATTCAAATAAAAACAAACGGTAATAGCTCTCCTCCGTTCCTCCACTTCCACCTGTCGTCCGCCCCCGCCCTCTGCCACCGGTCGCAGTTCATCTCCCCCCCACTTCCACCCAAATCCCGCATCCCATCTCGCTCGCACTTGTTCCCACGTTGTGCGCGTGCGTACGCTGGCCGAGCTGAAGGCAGCCAAAAGAAGCAAGACCGAAATCAAAATACAGCGCCAGTCTCAAATCTCGTCTCGTCCCTAGCAGGTCCACTTCGAAAGTCGCGCGCGGTTCGCTGTTCGAAAATTCGGACGAAAGTCGCGGGCGTTTCGCTGATAACAAACGGTACACGGCCGAAAAAGGAACAAAAATTGTGTGGGTTAAGTTTCGAGTTAAATAGTTGCAAAAACAACCTCTTCTAGAGAAAATCTGTATTGTGCTTAAAGTGAAAATAGATTGTTAACTAAAAAAACTGGAATCAAAACAAGAACAAATTGTGTATGTAAAGTTTCACATCAAACAAACATTTTTTTGAGAATTTGTTTTAGTAAATCATCGAGCTTAAAAAAGAGAGTATAAAACAACTAAATGTTAAAAAGCACTGGTATGGAAACTTTTAAATAAAATGTACAACAAACAAAAGAAGAAGGATTTTTAAGAAATATTAGCTGCAACGCCTTGAGTTATTATGAAAACATATTCATTAAATAAAAAATATGTAGTGCCAAAGAAAGCCAAATTATAAAGACACTTTCAAGTGAACACAATGAAATTCTTAGTGAAAAATATTTCTAAAGATAAAACATTTTTAATGTTTCCATAAAACAAACTAGATATATTAGGGAAATTATGTGGAGTGCCCCGAGTGAAAACGATTTGGTTAGCTTCTTGTTATAATTTTTCGTGTTTCTCGTTTATGGTCTCGCACCTCGGCGAGAACCTGAAAATAAAATGTTGACGGCATTTAATTTGCATAAAAAAAGCTTAGCGCTAAAATATGAAATTATGGAAATATTCCAACAAAAAACATGCACGAAATTATCGTTCATACATTTTACGAGCATAACGTTTTCCCTCTCGCTCCCGCCAGCTGTCTCCCGCTGTCGCCATCCCGCTCAGGCTACAAATTTGCTGAACTTTATAAACAAAATTTAGCATCAGTTTATTGCGAGACAGAGTATATTTTGTAAATGTTTATTTTTCCAAAATATTGCAAAAATTGTTTCGAAAATATTGCAGCGCAGTAGGGAAACTTTGGTCAAAACAACAGGATATCCAATTATTTTTAGTGCGATAAATAAGTGAAATTAAGAAAAATTTGGTAAACCTGCTTGAATTCAATGAGTCAGAATAATAAAGAAAACATAAATAGAAAGGAATAATATAACTATTTGATATTTTGCAGATTGGCGAAATGACTAATTTCAATTGTGTCGTGTACAAGTTTCCTTTAAAGTATTATAGAAATACACAGCTAAAAATTTTGCCTAGAAAAGGTCTAAGCTGATAACAACATAAATATCCACAGGCAGGGGTGATAGAAATAAATAGGGTAAGGTGGGGTAAAGCCGACCTAGTAAATGGTTTTGGCTATAAAATGCTTATTTTACATCGGATCAAGTCGTTATATATACCAAATTAAAGGTTAGACTTTTGCGCAACTTTCCATGCATAGCAATTTATTCATACCTTTGAAAAGTTTTGAGATACAAGCGTTTTACGAAAAAGTTCATTTTTGCTATGTTCAAAAATGATGGGGTAAACCCGACCGCCTATGTTTTTGGTTGATTTAGAACAGATATAACCTAAATATAGGTTTTGCAATGATAAATCAATCAATGTTATGTTATATAATGATAATAAAAGATAATAGAATTAAAAAAATGAAAATAGCAAAATAATTAATCAGTATCATCTGATTCGCTGCTCAAATAGCTTGCTGGCGTTTTTTGGTTCGAGTTGAACGTCTGGTTGGCTGCAATGTTAATGGTTTTGGTGTGATTGTTGTTTTTTTGGCTTTTTTTGCGGCAGGATTTACCCCACTATTTAGAGGTCGGATTTGCCCCACCACGTAATTTTTCATAAAAACGCAATTAAAAAAGAAATTATGAAAAAAAATGAACCAAACTTATATGCACTTTGTAGGACTTTATTCAAAGAATCTAAATCCACTTACCTTTTCATGCGATAACTTTGACAAAAAGAAATATCCTGCAGTTAATTATGCACAAAAATGAAACTTAAAGTTGTCAAAACAAACTTGTTGTCGTTTGACCATCTCAATATTGACTAATAAAATGGTGTCATACCACCATTTTCATTGTTTTCGATGCTCTACACGACAACACTAATATTAGTTTGCGTAGTGTTTCCGATTTTCGAAAACAGAGGGAGGTCGGGTTTACCCACACTGTCGGCTTTACCCCACCTTACCCTAATATTTATATTTTAGTACATAAAATTTTTTTAAATATAATGAATTTTATATTAAGTCATTGATAATATGCTCATAAATTAAAATGTGCTTAAAACAAGGGCACAATATAAACTGATAGTCAAAAGATTCCATTAAAAACAGGTAATATTTTGGGATTTCTCTATGAAAATTCAGAAGATTAAAGCATAGCTGTGTCAAATTTTTCCAAGAGCCACAAACCCAGTGTTCCTCCCCACCCACAATTCGTTCCCATTGGAGACGAGCACCTCCAGACAGATTGATAGCGGCCGTAAAGTGAAACCGCAGTTCGCGAAGTAGAGTTCACGAATTGGCTAACCACAGACTCGAGACGAACTTTAGGACTTTGTTAAGTGTGTTAAAAAAAATTAAATGATGAAAAGTGTTAACTTAATAATGAGGTGTGGGCGGTGTGACAATGTTCCGACTTGCCTCCAGATGGGCTGATAACCGCACCAGTATATAAATATAAGCCAAGCTCTAACCCGCATTCGTATCTGTTCTGTTCCGATTTGGTTGCAGATAACAACGTGGCCGCCAGCAAAGAACCACCCATGATTGGCTCGCACGGTTCCAAACTGCAAAAGAAACGCGCCCTGAACAGCTACTCAAACTTTCCCTTATAACACAACCCCCGAAGTTTCCCCCTTCCTTGCGATATATACCAAAGTGAGCACTCAAAGTGCAGCCAGCTATTGTAACTAAATTAGCAGTAACTAGTCAATGCCAAAAATGATAGTGGACAAGTCGGATCTGGTGGGCGAGAATGCCTGGGCCAAGCTCCTGCCCGAGGACAAGGACAAGACCAGTGCCCCGAGCATAGTCAAGATGAGCAGCAGCAGCAATAACAACGACTCCAAGGAGACCACTCCTCTAAATGTGGATCAACTGGTGGCAGCCACCACGCCTGGCGTGGGATCGGAGCAAGCAACAGGCTGTATGGAGGAGACCTACAAGCGGACATCAACGTATGCCTCCAATATCAATTCAACGGGCGGCGAGTCCAGCGGAAGTGGTACGCAGCTCTCCCGTAAGGAGTCCATTCTGGGCAGCTTCCACCGACAGATCCGGCGATCCATCAAAGCGGTCAGCGAATCGCCCGGCCCACTGACCAGGTGAGTGAGGAGAAGAGATAAGATTAGTTGCGACAACACTGCGTATGAGTAATGGATAATGTTACTCATACGCAACGTTGGTCAAGAAGACGGTGGAAAAGAAGGGATTCCTTTCAAAATCGCAGCTTTGGGCTAAAAATATCACTCTAAGAGCTAGTTATTGTATTTTGAATAGTTTTGCAAGTTGCTTTTAAATCAATATTGACTTCGACTTGTTATATGGGCAAATGCTATTAGCACAGAAAGTAAACATCCGCAGTATTCCAAACATTAATATTGATAGTGAGGGTTACATCTTTTAAAAGTAAAAAACAAATACTAAACTGTTGCAATTTTAACATTCTTAAAAACTTAATGTTAAATAGTTCCGAGAAGGAAAAATAGATTTATTATATATATTATAAAATTAAACAGGGGTATATCATACTATCACGTATTTCCTCAGAATGTTATTTCAGAGTTTTGTGTTATCTTTTCGTGATTTAATTCCTAAAAGATTCCGCTGCCTCTCTCTGTTAATGAGTTGTGTAACAGCTTCCAGGAAGTTCTCAGTCATGCGACTAACAAAGTTTTGCTTCAAATATCTAAAATAATTAGTCCTAAAATCTATATTTCTTATTCAAAGCCATTATGTGTTTCTCTGTGCATTCTGTAAGAGTTTCCAAGAATCTGCATTTGCGAATATTCGAGCAAAGCTAAAGCACTTAATCCGAGAACCCACACATCTCGCAAGGCAATGTGTTGTTGGTAAACAAACCGCATTTGGTGCACTTCCCATTGAATTGGTTCTTTTTTTTCGAGAAACGTGTCCAGTCCATTGATAGCTCATACGATATACTTTTTGATATGCAAATGGAGGTGACGTCTGTTGGTCACTGGAGCTGGAGAACTGTGGAATCGTAGAATCGTGGAACTGTAGTATGAGAACCGAGTCACTAGAGCGAGATAAACCTTTTGACTTGATTGCCTGAAATGACAAAATTGAATTATTTTGATTTGAGCGCCGTCAGTGGGTGGACAATTAAATATTATTTCCGCCTGTTGCTTCTAGCTCAGCGTGTAAGCTGCGCTACAGATACAGATTCAGATTCTGGTTCTGATTCTGATTCAGATACTGATTCCGAGCCGCCTTAATTGGGAGTAGAGTCGGTTTCTGCGGCAGTTCGAGTCCGAGTGCGAGTATGAGTACCAAATGAACGCCCCTGACATTACGCGTGTGTTTACCGAGCACTAATGCCTCGGCATATTATATGAGTCCAACGCAGCTCCACGCTGTTTATGAGAACGTTCTCCCAGCGAGAGTCAACGACTCGCACCTGCCTCTGCCTTGACATAAATTTGCATAATGCATAATGCCGGAGCCTCAAATTTCAATACTCGATCGGCTTTCGGTTTTGGCAACTCACTTGGCCATAAGTTAATTAAGAGCGTGTTAACTGCTTGGCCGACGGACTCATTTCGGTTGGCCGAATGCCAGAACCGAGGGGATTTCCTATGTATGTGGATGCTGCGAGTTATGCTCGTCAATGGTCGGCTTGTTCCGATTGTTCGGGCAAGCTATAAATAGCTAAGTTGAGTGGTTGAGTGGTCGGGTCGATGTCGATATTTATGCCCTGTAGCGCATTCGACACACTTTCTTCTTCTCTGGCTGTTGGGCACACGGTGCGTATGATTGATTTTCATACCACAACACTCCCGGTCTCCCGCTTTCCCGCCATCCGCCTCATTTCCGCCGGCAATTGATTTGGCCAATATTTGCGCGGCCGATCGTGCGCCACTCGAGCTTGCCCAAGCGTCTGCGACCGATTGCTCACGATTCAACGAAATTAATTATTTTTATTATGATAGATCCATTTGATAATTCCCGCGGAATCACCGTCCGGCAATCGTCGCCTGTGACGACGACCCGTTGATTATGGGCACTTGGGATCGGGCTGGGAAAAGATCTAGACAGGCAATTATCGCTTAAATGTTGTAAATTGATCAAGGGAAAGTGCCAGAATAGCTTAATGGCTTTATAAGCCCTTGTAAATATAAACTAACGTTTTGCGCGTGTTCGAGCTAAGGATGCCTAATGGTCACACAGTTGTTTACTTTTATTTATAGTTTATGAAATTATAGTGGTCACATGTATAATTAACTTTTAAATATGGCCAAAGATTACTTAATAACATAAAAGGGTTAGTCAATAGCGGATTTATAAAATGCAATACAAAGTTTAAGTAAATTTGAATAGTTATTTTTTAATGCTAATGGAAATACGTGGAAAAATATCTACTAATCAATGGTAAAACAATGTAGTGATACCTTATATTGAGTTCCCTTTAAAAAAAAAAAAAAAAAAACCTGTCTGAAGAGCTTCTATCGAAGATTATTTGATCCTAGAAACGTAGTATACTTGATGATTTGAGCCATCCATTGACATGGACTCCATGTGTCCACGGGTCGATCATGTGATTAATGAACACCGCCTGGGAATAAGTAGAACCACTAGAAATTGGTCGTGTGCAAAGTGGCTTCCCGCTGATAACTGCAAAACAAAAAATATTAAATATCGCGATCGAAAGGTTGCTATAAATCTTCTGAAATGCAGAAAGTAAGTCGCAAACGGGATGTTCGTCAGGACTGGTCACATGCACTGCGGAATCTATTTTTCGCTACGATGATACTAAATTTTTTCCGCCAATTCCCAGCCGCTAATCGTCTAACGAACGAATCGTGATTGAATAAGCAGACGTGCCCGATTTGATTATCGCATATGGCAACCGGGCTAGTACGCTAATATATGCGAGGATTCCACCGTTTGTGTGTGCATAAATACTTACACACATGCCGCATTTATGACACTAATGAAACTGCAGTTATAAATTGAGTTTTATACGCGTTAATTGGCGAAAATCTTTAAACTTAATTGTCGTACGACTCGAATATTTTCGTTTAACTGGCTCTTGTCTTTTGTCTTGCGCTGCGGCATTATGGCAATTTATTGCAACGATCGGCTGTCAGGCGATATAACTGTTAACGGACTCGCGGCGAATTCGAAGCGGCATCGGCCGGGTTAATTGCCATGATTTAAGGGCGAATTAAGTCAGGCGTCGGGAGGGTGGAGCTTCCTGTCGGGCTCTCCCTCGTGCTCCCTCCCGCTTATTTTAATCTCTACACAAAAGAAGAGAAACGAGCGAATTTTATCAGCTGTTGTATATTATGCTTGAGCGTGTTTGTTTGCCCCGCTGGTATGTATGTATTAGTGGTATGTGTGATTTTAGCTACACGCTGTTGTCACTCTGTGTTTGCTTTGCTTTTGCCTCTGCCTCTGCTTTTGCGCTGCTGCCTTGCTGCCCGGCTGCTATCGCGTCTTCCACTTTAAACTCAAAATAAAAAGCAACAAAGCTGTCAACCGAGCATTTCAGTTTGAGTTCAGCCGTCTTCGCAGAAAGTTATACACCTGTCGCGCTCTCTCGCTCACCCCCGCTCTCTCTCGCGTGCTTGCTCTCCCGTTGCAAGATCCCCGAGTAAAGCTCCCAGAGAGCTTATTTAAACGCATTTCGTGCAACTAACGCCGCTCATTGGCCAATGGAACACCGTTAAATCAGTTCCTGAGCGCGTTTACCGTTACCAACTACCGAACTCTACAAACTAAAACTATACAATCCGTGTGTGCTCCGCTGCTCTACAGAGCGTTTGTCGTGAATATAATGAGCGCTTTTGTTTATTTCAAAATAAAAACCATTTTTGCCTTTCCCACCACGAAAAGAACGCATTTGTGATAAAGCGCAGTAAAGTGGAAGGAGAATATAAATTATAAATAGCCAATAAAAATCGAAAGCCCATAAAAAAGTTCGCTGGTGTTTCAAGTTTACAAAATAAAAACAACAACAACCAAAACCTGCCTCACAGTACCCCAACACACACGCACGCGCTCGTATCCAGCGATAACGTCACCCGCTTTCGTCGACAGTATTAAAGTTAATCCGAAAAGTGCTCGAATCTTTTGTTTTCCTAAACACAAATTTCAATTATAATAATTGTAATACAACAACTGCGAAAATTATAATAAACAAAAACAAAAACTACAACAACTGTAGCCAAGGTTGCCGCGGTTTTATTTTGTTTTTGTTGTGCGGAGGAGCTGTCAACTGAACATCTCTGCTCAGCCGCTGTTGCTGCCGACGTCGACGCCACTGTTGCCGCGTTGCCGTTACATTTCAGTTGCCATCGAAATCGCCGCAAAATTGTCGCATAAAAACCAAACAGAGAGCAACAAAGCCGCAGCAGAAGCAGAAATTTACATAGCAGCGTTATACAACGCAGCGCGTGCTCCGTTCCGACTGCAGATCGAAAATCCGGAATCCATCCGCATCCGTAATTGTTGCTGACATCCCCGGCGAGTTACCTTTCATTCGTCAAAATGAAGCGCCTGATGACCTGGGAGCGCGATCTCGTGGATGCCATGTACGAGTAAGTGGCAGACACACAAACACACAAACACTATACACAACAAGAAAACACAAAATATAATAAATCTCAAATGATGATCGATTGGTGGCTATAAATTCATTAGGCAAACGAAAAGCTAATCTCTCTTTCCAATGAAAGATGCTTAAAAGCCAATAAATTAATTTATGAATACGAATGTAGAGGTTTCCTTGTTGAAAATGAAACGTAAATAAATTATTTATACAAGTGAGAAATGTATGAAAGGAAGATTTAAGGAATTGGTTTTCAAATTGAAAAACAAAAAAATCAATTGAGTTAAAAGTATTTAACAAATTGCTTTTGAAATTAAATATAATTTTAAGATGATTGCTAATTAATTAAACATTTACAAAATGTATTAGTTTGACAGATTTGAGTCATGGAAACCGAACTCATTTTTACAGTCCTGAGAGCGTATTTATTTTTAAATTAAATACTAATCCCACCAAATTTCCTCTAGACTAATATTTTATTAAAAACCACATTTCTTCCCGTGTATAAGCCATGTGGATGTGTGCCTGTGT